TCAAAGATGCTGATGTTTCGCTATCCATAAACCCCACAGGAGTATTGACTTTTTGTGTTTTAGTAATTTGAGACAGGGGGCCCGGTTCTTAGAAACCATGTGACATTCCAGGGGAAAGTATTCAAACAACACTAATAAAAAAAACCACCAGAGAAACAGTCATTTGCATTAGTCACTTGTTGTTGTTGTTGTTGTTGTTGTTGTTGTTGTTGTTGTCTTTCCATTTTCTATACTAGCTGCACGCCCGCGCTGACATAACAAGATTAACGCTGACAGCACTAATTTATCTTTTAAATAGTTTCAGCTTCTTAGTGGTGAAAATCTGCTTCTTATCTTTGTGTTATGTAAAAGAGCACTGAACATAGTTGGTAGTTTGCGTTGTTGATTGAAGAAAGAAAGACATTTGAGGACGTCATCAGAGGCTAAACTGAGACGGACTTTTCACTATTTCCTAATCTTTTTATGGCGCGTGAAATTAATCAGAGAATTCAGAACAGATTTATCAGTACCAATACTGCTGCACTTCGGTCATGTGTAAATGGGATTCTATACACTTGGCAGTAAATGGCGAGCATGACATCAAGCAGGTTTAGTATAAAAACAGAAGTTTGTTCACGTGGTTCATTAAATGCAAACAGAAAAATGGTGTCGTCATAGGAAATGCAATCATTAGCTTTTTCAGTTGTAGGATGCATGACTGCATGGTCATGGTGTGCACAGCATGCATAACTTGGATAGCTTCTTGGGCCACGTTGGGCCACATGTGAGACTCTGTGACTCTGTGATGCTTCTGTATGTGACACATGCAGCATTCGGTCATGTCTCTGTACCCATTTAGATGTTTATAAAGACACTCGGCTGTCCCTTTAAATTTCTGTGAAGGCTTTCATGTATTTAGATGTTCATTTTTAACACAAAGTACGTATGGTTCGCAGGTCATCTATGCTTTAATTTGTACAACTTTACATGTGTGAGAAACAGTTGTGAATACATCTACTTTAAGACAGATTTGTCTTTGAACACATAACAATTTCAGTTTTATTAAAAATATCTTAGAAACTTTTGGAGAATCATAAGAACATAAGCAAATATATGTTTTATGTCTTAACTCCTCTCTTAGCTGTGATGTTTGGTCCTTGACTTCCTGAGTAGGATCAGCTTTGGTCAATTTCATTTTTCAGTGAAATGGACTTTGATCTTTGAGCATTCAAATACACTTAAATGCAAAACACTGAATGAGGAAGCACATGCAAAGACAAACCTTTTATTTATGCTTGTGCTTTGAGCCTTACCAGCCTGTATTTAAATGGACTTTGTTTGTGGCCCCTGCCACTCGTGTATCTGCCTCGGGCCTGAGTGTTTCTCCCGAATCCTCTCAGCGTGCCCATTACGTAACACGTCTGCCACAGTCTACTCCCTGTCCTCCAGAAGTCCTTTGATGCTGCTGCACTGACATCCTGGTGTTCGGCATGTCGCAGCACTTAGCCTCTGAGTTATATTTTCCTATGAGACATCCATCATTTGTCAGAAAATGATACTGCACTTAGTGAAAACATACAGCAGCCACTTTGCCAGGCTGCCAGCATGACTGGCTGGATGGCAGTACAGGTCTGTCAAGTCGGGTCTGTAGCTTGAAGTCGGATCATTTCAAGCCTAAAATGATGAGTGCATGCGTCTAAAATAAGTTGAAGTCTAAGAAAAGAAGTGAAGCTAGCTGGATTTTCCCTTTTTCCCATACCTAATGGCAGCAGCAGTGGTAACTTGAGCTGAGCTCTCACCGTGAGCAGTGAGCCCAAATGGCATCTGCTGAAGACATTTTTGCTTTTCTTTTTGAAGTACAGGGCTCAACAGTTCCCCATCTGCCCAACAGTAGCCACCAACACAGCTACTGAAGAGGCCTGTGAATAGACTATATATGATACATACTAGGGCTGCCACAAACGATTATTTTGATAGTCGACTAGTCACCGATTAATTTTGCGATTAGTCGACTAATCAGATCATCATCCATTGAACGTAAAACGTACAGCTTATTGCACCAGCAGCATCTGCTCTTATATAACTATCATTAGCTTACAGCTTTAAGTGTTTAAGGTCTGTGCTAACTAAAAATAAAGACAAGATGATAGTTTATTAAACTTTTAATGAAATTTGCAGATTGTTTCGGTGGAGTTTAATAAACTCCTTGCTATCTAAAATATAACGGGACACCGGAGTATATTCTCGAGCATCTCACACTTCTGATAATCAGCTGTCTGCTTGACGTTTATTCAGCTGTGTAAAAACTATAACTTTAATCTCAGCCAAACCGATTTACTCAGGAACAAATAAAATACTAAAGAAAGCCAAACAATAACATTTTTAAGTTATCTAAGTGACTCATATATCATGTTTAACCTGAGTAGCGAAAGACGGCGGGTTTGAAAACGATTTGCCGGGAGTCCGGTGTTCTCACGGCTCTAGTGAGCCTTGCCCCCAGCTAGCTATCGAGCTAGTGGGTAACAGACGTCTCCGAAAACGTCGAGCGCTTTTGAAAATATGTGGTGTCTTGATAAACTGAGCAGATATTTGAGGTTTACACAGCTACATTCTCGCCTGAACATATGTTAAATGTTTATTTTGTGACCCAGAAAGAATAATAAGAGTAATGTTAAAACTAACTAGCTGCCGCCATTGTTGGAAACTGAGCTGGGCCGCGCTATGAATTCTGGGACACAGCTTCTTCTTCTTCGGGGTTTAACGGCAGCTGGCATCCTTGTACATGCAGTGCTGCCATCTTCTGTTTCAGTCCGTTATTACACTCTGAAATCCTACTACTTATTCCTGCGTCTTTTGTGATCTTACAAAGCTTCAAATGAGGCGTCTACTATTAAATTAGTCGTCGACGATTTTGATAGTCGACGTAATCGTGACTAGTCGACTAATCGTGGCAGCCCTAATACATACATAGACATAGGCTGGATGTTTGGCATTTAGCGGGGTAATTGCTAGTGCTAATCCCTTAAGCTTATTATTCATATTGTGTTGATGGGGTGTGTCAGTTCACTATAGTTTTTTGTTTTTTAGATGTTTTGCAGCAACTCGCACAACATCTTTCTGTCTCTGTGAGTATTAGAAGATCTCAAGGCGGCAGCACAGTTCTGCTTCACTTGGATCTGGAAGGTGAACAGTTGTTTGTAGGCTGATTCATATTGTGGAACATGTCACCTCATTCTGCACAGGCATGTAGACATTTGAAAAGAGGGCTGAAAGTGCTGACACGGTCTGTGTTTTAAAGTGTTTTCTTGCTCTCCATGTAATATTGTATTTACTAGCAAGTTAGTTGTTAGGAAGAATCCCTAGTTATTGTAGCTACTCCAACGTCTCAGCTGTGATGGGATGAATTAGGATGAGATTCAGTGCAGATGTTCATGTTCCCCAGAGGAAGAACTCTAATTACTTTGATGGCTTTTCATCTTGTAAACAATGATGTACACATTGATGGTTTTCAGAGAAATGTCTGTTGTAGCCAATTGGTTTGTTTTCACCTCAGCAACTCAACTGAAGTTCTATCATGAACAGTTCTTTGACATCAACAGCGATGAGTGAAAAGTGGAGGTGTGTGTGAGTCTTTACACGCAGCATCAAACACTTCATTACGGTGTTTTCTCTGTGGCTCGCTGCTCTGCCAAGAGAACTGGCACGAATCAGTGGGAAAAGTACAGGAATGTGAGGTAACACGATGCCAAAACAAAGGTACGAGCTGTCACTGATATGCTGCAAGAAGCCTCGTTGTAAACTCAGACCTGCACTTTCCTTTTTCCTTGTTTGTTTTTGCACCTTGGTGTGATGCAGTGCAGCTCAACAGCAACATTAAGCTTTTAAAATTGAACCAGCGCATCGTTCAAGCTTAGAATTTTCTGCAAGCGCTTTATGTTTAATTTAAAATGGTTTAATTTTGTTTTTGCAAGGTTTACTTCATAATAGAGGTGGGAATCACCATACATCCCACGATACGATATTATTGCAATTTTTTTAAAATATTTTGCGATATTCAGATTCTGTACATAAAGGTAAACTTTATCAATATTCATTTTATCTAATATCAAAGTCTCGCACTCAGTCTTTCTCTCATTTCAGTCAGTTTTATTGTTGACAAACTGAACTGTTTGTATTACAGTCTAGTCCAACTTAACTGAATGCAACCATCTGGTACAATTATAGCTATTCTGAACTATGCGATTTATGAAAACTATGCAGCCCCTTCAGCAACTGAAGAATTTGAAAGTAAATTAAAACAAAATATAATTTTACATTAAATAAAAAAGTTTTAAACTTAATTAAAATAAAACATGTCTTAAATGAAAATAAGTAAACTGTCATGTTTATTGCTGCCATAACAAAAGTTAAACACATTTGGACAGTGAAGGAATGTCAGGATTCTTGCTCAGAAAAAGGATCAACATGCTCTGAAGTCAGAGCACAAAAACTTTTTTTGTAACAAAATATCGATTTCTGCTGTCCCTGTATCGATACATTATTAGCAAACAAAATATCACGATACTACACAGTATCGATTTTTTCCCCCACCTCTACTTCATAAGCTGACAAACAGGAGTGCTACAGTATGCTTCATAGTTACTAAACAGACTGAAGCATTTCCTGTAATTTTTTTGTGGCCTGACCTTTGAACTCCTTACTGTTTATCTCCTCGTTGACCTTTGACCAGCAGCATGTAATATGTATTTTTTTACAGGTTATTTTTTACAGTTTCATTGCTTTGTTTTCTACCTTGCAGCCTAATGTAAGAGCCTGTAAATTCATGCCACAGATTACAGTAGTTGTGATGTAGTTTGTGAACCAGAAGTATAGAAACAATGCGTCCTCTATAGTAATGTCAAGAAACGGAGAGGAGACACAAATGAGGGCACGCCTAAAGAAAAGCATGACCTTTCCATTAGAGCTGTTTAAATAAATGTAAATCGTGTTTTTAACTGATACATTTCCATCTTCTATTCCAGGTCCATTATCCAGATGTGGAAAGAGTGGAATGGCTGAATAAGGTATATACACCTCTTTCTTTTTTTCTTTATATTATATTTAAATTAATTTTTGTGCTTAGACACCTACTCGCACACCGCCTTACATCCTCAACAGTAGTCTGCCAGCTAGCAGAGGCAGACAGGCAGGGTTTATAAATAGGATCTGAATCTGGAGCTCTGAGAGACCCTGACCCAGTGCTTCCACCTCCCCAGAGAGAGACACGGAGGTGGGGAGAGCGTGAAGGAGAGAGATGCAAAGTGAACTAGAGAGGGAGAGAGAGTGAGTCTTAACATCAGAAGAGCACCACTTACTGTAAATGTGTACAGGTCCTTCCAGTAAAAAGGTAATGGATGAAGATGAGCAGGAAAATATCTTTTTAACATCTGTTTATGGGAACACAGAAAATCATTTGAAAGGCAAATAAAAACCAGAGGTATTCTCCTCTAAAGCAAAGAAATGGCCATAACTTACCTGTAACATGGCAATCAATAGTTCTGATTATCACCACACAGATGGGCCCTTTCATAGGAGGATGGAGTGAGGGACAGCCAGGGCTTTGGTGGCTTACTCTTTATTGGATTCAAATGTCTTCTAAAGTATTGCTAAATGTTTCAATAAATGTTAAATTAGGATATAAAAAAATAATTTCTTACAAAGACCTTCATTTATTTAGTAAATGTACTGTAAATGTCACTTCATTTATTAAATGTGATGATCACCAGTGAATGTATGTGATGGATAATTACTCCCTCATTTCCCTCAGATTAGGATTTTGACATGTAGCTGCGTTGCTCAGCTCAGGCAGATTAGATGATTTTACATTTTTCACACCCAAACACAGAAGTGAGGAGCGTGCTCCTGTACAGAAGCCTGAAAAGTCATGTCGTCCGCTATCAACAGATATCGCTCAGTTCATTGCTTCTTCATCTGGATCAAATAGGTCATAATGAGCAGAACTTCACCTGCCATGACATCAGACCTCTGTGAACCTTTAATGCTCCTGGTCACTGTAATCAAAGGACGGTTTATAGCAGCTCATAGTGTTCACCTGAGGGCACAGAGCATTTTTACACTTTTAGAGGATTTTACAGGGAAGTTTGCACTCATAATATGACTCAGTCATTTCTGTGGTAGTGAAATTTCTGAGTGTGGCTTAGTGAATGGATGTTAAAGCAACAATCTGGTAACTTCTTAAGGCATCCGTAACGTTAGTGTGTATGCTTATTAATGCTGACATATTCAGTGTGTTTTGTTATGTGACAGGAGACTCGGTTACACTTGGACTCAAAATGCTCGTAATAATTAGAAGTGTCGTGCAAAGTTTGAGTGCATTATTTCTCTCGCTGTGATTGCACAAGGAATTTTTGCGAGGTGATATTATTTTAATGCGTCAGCAGCAGCAACTGAAGGTCAGGTGAAGGAGCAGCTGAGAGGAATTGCAGGGTGGTTTCTTTTATCCCGTGGACTATGGCGCCGAGTATGGCAGCCTCGTCGCGAGCTCCCCCAAGCAACGGCTTT